TGGTCTCCAGAGAGGAGTCCTAGGCCCTCCAGCTTCCATAATGCAATGGCACACGTTACTTCTCCAGGCCACCGGGCCTTTAACCCTTTGCTCTGGAGGGTCAGAGCGCAAGTACCAGGCAAGGGCTGAGGTCGGGGCAGAAGGAGCCCCTCTCTCACCAGCGGAAAGTTCTTCCTAAGCCTGATTCGACTGGAAAGCCAAGAGCACGCCCCTGGACTCCTTGGGGTTGGGGTGTCTGCAAGGCAAGTGGGGCATCCCCAAGCTGGGCTGGGGAAGGGGCTGGGGCCTGGCTTCTCCAGCACGGAGCTCCGCCCAGGGAGGCTGTGCCTGGCGCTAATTGGCTTGCCCTCCTTCCACTGCTGGAGAAAGTCTGGGCTAATTTGCCGGAACGCTGTAGTTAAATGCCAATTAGGACGTTCTGTCCACTGCTCTTTTCCAATATATTAATAACGTAATTAAGCATTTATTGCCTGCGCAAATTAAAAATTAACTTAAACGGACAGCCTGGAAAACTGAGGAAGTGACCGCTTAAACAAGCAATTTGCATCACATTTGAATATCAACATCTAAACGCGGCCCCTGCTGGGGCGCGGGTCCGGCCTTCCAGGGAGAGGCCCAGCCAGCTGACAACAGCTGCCCCCCACCCCCCAGCCGACCCTGCCAGGCCCTGCCTGCCCATCCCGCCCCTGCCTGGCCTGGCCCCAACTTGAGTGAGGGTTTTCTGCTAGGCAGCCACCTTGGCTTCTGTCGGCCTTCCTACCCCCTTTCCGAGGGGTCTGTGGTGTGGATTTCGGTAAAAGGAGATGCCACGGGGTGGCTGGGAGGGGGCAATCCTATAGCCCCACAGCCCCCGCCCCTCACCCTATTGATTTGTCCTGCATTCCAGCCCCGGAGATAGGAAGCAGATGGTGCAGGCGTGAGCAGGGGGGGAGGTGACCAAGGAACCGGAGACCTTCCTGGCAACCAGCCCCCTGGAGAGAAATGGGGCGGGGGTGTGGCTGCATCTCTGGGGGAGCTGGCGGGGGATGGGGCCAGACAGTATCTCCAAATACAAGATGAAAGAATGAAGAAAGTTCTGTCTCTTCTGTCCCCAGGGGTCTACCAGGGCAGGTGTGACTGCTGGTTTTCTTCTCCAAATAGCCACAGGAGGGCTGGACAGGAAGGCACCCGGACAGCAGGGTGTGGGTAGTAAGGTGTAGTGGCAGGGGAAGGGGGGCAAGGAGAAGGGATAGTGGGGGCAGGTGGAAAGGAGGCCACAGCCCACACAGGCCCTGCCTCTGCTGTGTCCTATGGCTCCTCTGGCCAGGCTTTCGTGAAGGGCTTCCTCCCAGGGGACCTGCTGTCCTCGGCCTTCCTCCGTGGGTGGAAGGTGTTGCCAGGGGCTCTCCTCCCTACCCTCTCCTGCAGCGCCATCCTCTCTACCCCTGCCCTCACCGCAGGGAGATGGGGAAGCAACCGAAGCCCGTTTGTTTTAAACACTTTATTTATAAAAAAGTACATTTTTTCCTCAGTACATTTTTCAACCCATCTTTTTTTTTTATACAAGTAAAAGGGGGCGATGCAAACACCCCCCGGGTCACAGGCAGGAGAGTCTGCTGGGCTGTCCCCAGGACCAAAAACGACAGCGGTGACGAAGAAACTGAAGCAAAGGTAGCGGGTCCCACTCGGCGCGGAGGTGGCAGCTTCTCCTGGGTTTTGTTTCCATTTATACAAAAAAGGAAGCCAATGTTTTCGGCCGAGAGTCCCATTCCTCACAGCAGGGTCAGAAGAGCAGCAGCACCGGGCAGGGAGGGGACCCCGCTGGCCTTGTGAGGGGTGGAGGGCCCTGGTGCCCTCCTGGCCGAGACCAAGGCCGCAGCTGGGGCCTGCTTCCTGGGCATCTCAGGCACAGGTGGGTTGTGAAGCCTCCCTGGGGCAGGGAGGCCTGGGAGGACCCGCCTGTCACCGAGAGGGTTTCTGTTGGCAGTTAGGCTTTGGAGGTCTCTTTCCGGACCCCCGAGACCTGGGAGCATGCCTCTTCTCCCAGGGGAGGGGACACCTGGGTCCGCGTGGCCCAGGCCAGCTGCCCACACCCATTTAACACAACCCCCTTCCTCTGCTTGGAGGGTGGCAGGAAAGTTATTGCACCAGTGACTTGGGCACATGGGGTGTTGGCAGAGGGGTACCTGCCCGAAGACAGGGCCCCGGAAGTTGCCTGTGTGGCCTAGGCACTGGGAGACCATTGTTTCTCTTTAAGGGCTTACGGCAGAGTCAGCCCTGCCCTCTGCCGTGTCTGTGCTGAGTACTGCGGCCGCGCATGCCCATGCGTAGGCCTGTCAGCGGCATGTGTGTGCCCACCGTGTGCACCCACTGTGTGCTGGGCCGAGGTGGCTGCGCTGGCATGCTTGTGTTCACTGGTCTGGGCTGCTGCTTTCCAGATCCTTCTGATACTAGGGGACTTGGATGGTTCTGTCACACATCGGAACAATAAAAGTTCTACGGAACAGGGTAGAGGTGGAGCGGGCAGGGAGGGCAACGAGGGGCAGGATGACAAGGAGGCCTTGGCACGATTCACACCAGGTGTGTTTCAGCTCACTCCCGGCAAAGCGGCAGCTCGGCTGTGTGCCCACCGTGTGCATCCACTGTGTGCTGGGCCGAGGTGGCTGCGCTGGCATGCTTGTGTTCACTGGTCTGGGCTGCTGCTTTCCAGATCCTTCTGATACTAGGGGACTTGGATGGTTCTGTCACACATCGGAACAATAAAAGTTCTACGGAACAGGGTAGAGGTGGAGCGGGCAGGGAGGGCAACGAGGGGCAGGATGACAAGGAGGCCTTGGCACGATTCACACCAGGTGTGTTTCAGCTCACTCCCGGCAAAGCGGCAGCTCGGCTCATGCAGGGGGGCGTGGAGAAGCAAAACGTCCTCACCTCTGCTGGGCCAGACCTCCCCCTGCCAGCTGGCTGCACCTGTGGACTTGGCAGCCATGCCCACTGTCCCACGAATCCCGCACAGGAAACCCGTCTCCCTGGGCCCCAGGGCTGACCCCTGCCCCATGCCACTCTCAGCAGGACAGGAGCCTCCGGATGGCCATACTGCATGGACTCTGTAATTTGTGCTTTGCTTGGGGGTGGGGGTGGGTGGGTGTGGAGGTGTATTAAGGGGACTCAGTGCTTTGGCTGGGCCCAGAGCCTCTTAAGTCCACCACAGAACGAGGAATTTGGGGTGGCAGTGCAGGATACGGGGGACACAGGAGGAGTCCCATCAGTCTTGTGGCTCCAAGGGGACATGGAATGCCTCCACCAGGCAGGCCCCTGGGATTGCCTCCTACCTGGAGCAAGAGGCCCAAGCAGAGGGCCCAGAGTGGTATGATGTGGGATGGGGCAGTGATGTGACATGAAAAAGGCCTTCTGCCCTGGGGACACTAACACTGCAGGGAGAGGCAGCCCAGCTCCTCCCCTTCCCTCTGTCCTGTGGCTAGAAAGAACCTCAAGGTACTCCCCAATGTCACCCCATCCAGTACTCCGATGCCAAGAGGGGAGAGCCGCCCCAGGGCTGGCATGGCTTCAGACATCTGCTCCGTGGCTGCTGGGCGGCCTGGGCTGGGGCTGGGGCAGTGAGGGCCAGGGGAGGCTGGCCCAGCTGGTGGGCCCAGGGCTGCCAGGGCAGAGGTGGGGCTGGCTGGGGCTCAATAGCAGCACCAGGGAGGGGAGCAGGGTGGGCTGGCTGGCTCCCTTAGGAAGCCTATGGCAGGGTGGGTCAGTGCCCGTGGGGCACACAGTGGTCTGCCTCCCTCTTCCCCAGCACTCGCCATCCTATAGAACCCGATGTCCTGGGCTGAGCCAACTAGGAACCTAGGGGGCAGGCGTGAGGGTCCTCAGAGCCTGCCTCCCATCCCAGGGTCTTTGCCACGGGCATGCCTGTCTAGAGTGCCAGGGGGCCTGGGGGCAGATGGAGGAATTGAGGCACTTTGAGCTGGGGGATTGAGAGGGGGCTGGGAAGGGTCTTCCTCCACGATCTACTGATACATGGGAAGACTCGGTCTTGAGTGGCTGATGGGAACCCAGAATTCCATTGGAGGAGTGAACCCGCACACAGAAGGAGGGCTTCTCCAGGGTCCTCCCCGGTCCCAGAAGGGGGCCCCGGGAGAGCTGAGCAGGGAATGGAGAGTGGGCGAGCAGGGGGTGCCCTGGTGCCTGGCCTTTGTGTGTGAGGCGTGATCTGTATCCCTTGGTGTTTGTGGAACGCCCCCACGTGGGCATCCTTCTCTGCTGCCCCCCCCCCATAGATACTTCTTGCCACTAGTTCCTGGAGGTCATTCTCTTCGGGGACCCTAGCCCTGACTCGCCAGGATTATCAAGTGTTGCTGGCACTTGATGGATAAGGGATAAAGCTAGAAATCCCCATGCTGTGAGGAGCAGTCTGGGGCTGGCCTGAGGTCCAGGGTGGAGGCAAGAGGGGGCCTAGTCCCAGCTGTCCCTGGAACGTCCACAGGCTAACCAGCTCCTCAGCTGGGCAGAAGTAAACAGAGCAGGGTGGCCATGGGCAGTGTCCAGCCTGGGTGGGCACATGACTCCGGAGCGGAGTAGGGTGGATGCGAGTGGGCTGGTGTGTATGTGTATGTATGTGATGCGTCGGCACAGGTGTGTGGGTGTGGGCCACCTGGAGTCCCACTACGCACAGCAGATTGGGGAAAGTAGAGGGCCACATCAGAGCTGGGCCAGCTCCACTGGCTCTGGGCCAATGAGGAAAAATAATGTAAAAATCTCACCGGAAAAACATACTGCCCATGGCCCCAAGTACGGACCTCAACTCGATTCACTTAATAAGACTCCCCTGGGTGCTTTGGAGAAGTCTCTCCCCCACCCACTACCTCTTGGGTGTTCTGGCTGTCTAGACTGGGGTTCCAAACGCCCAGCTGCGTCAGCTTATGGTGGGGGGTGCTGGGTTCCCTCTCCCTGGGAAGAGGAGCAGCATCAGGGGGTGAGAGGGGGGCTCTTCCTCTTGGAGCCCCTTTAGCATGTCCCCCACAGAAGAAAACACAAACAATTCCAGTGTCGGGGGTGGGGGAGGGCTGGCTCCCCAAACCCTGGAGGGATGCCCAGGTACACAAGACGAGAACAGGGCTCCCTACACAGAGGGCAGGTGGGGGGTCGGTTGGTAAAGGAAAGATACAGCGACACCAAAGCCACAGTCGAACACAACACCATGGGGAAGGGGCTGCGGAGAAGGGGGAAATAAAAAACAAAGCCAAGTTGTATCTGCCTTGGGCTCCCCTGGCTCCCCCGTTGGGGGCTGGCTTTGGGCAGCTGGGGCTGAGTCTCTGTTGAGCTCCTGGTGGAGTCTGTGGTGGGGGTCGGGCAGGGGGCGTGCGGGTAGGGGCTGGGTAGAGTGGGTACAGAGGCTCTGCAAGGGGGGCTACACATACCACTCCTTCTTGGAAATGAAAGACCCGTCGTTCTGAGAAACCATGTTCTCAGCTAAGTCCAGCTGCTCGGGGTCGTACTGGTAGCCCAGAGTCCGGTCCCCGTAGCCGTCCTGACGGGCCTCGGCCTCATCCACTGTGAAGTAGGGCCGCTTGGCGTCCTCGTCGTACTTGGGGTGGGGGCCGCCCACTTTGCGCTCACCCCCTCCTCCCCCTTCCTCCTCCTCTTCCTCCTCATAGCTGCTCCCGCCCAGCGGGCCGGTCTTCTTCTCGTCGTCCGAGTCATCCGGGTACTGCAGGTTCTGCGCCATGGGCGGGTGGTGCTGGGGGATGCCCGCCTTGCTGTAGCCGTTGCCGTACACGTGCTTCTTGGTGCTGTAATCGCCCTTGAAGGTATGCCGGCGCCGGCGCAGGGCCACCACGATCCCGCCGACCACAATCAGCAGCAGCAGCACGCTCCCTGCCACACCCCCAATGATGGCCGTGGGCACCGGCCCGGCGCGCCGCCCATGTTCAGGAGGAGACGGGGTGTGGGGGAATTCTGGGTGAGGAAAAGAGATGGAGGGGACAATGTCAGCGTGTGCTCCTGGGGTGGCGGTGGGGGGGCAGAGGGGGGAGAGGCAGGGGTGGGAGAGTCCAGGGAGGGGAGACTGCGCCCCAGGTTCGAGCAGCTCTGGTTCCAGAGCCCCTTGGCACCCACCCCTCCTGGAACTCAGCCGTGCTGCAGCGCTGGCAGCTGAAGCGACAGAGAGACAGGCAGGAGGGCAGTGGCAGCAGACAGCACCACACCGTGGGGCCAGCCCAGCCAACCCCACAGGTGACGCAGCACTGCCCTCAGCACCGTATCCATGAGGCAGCACTTCGGCCACAGCCTCCTGCGTGGGGATGCTGTTGGTTTCCAATGAGTACACCAGACAGGGCCCAGAGAGGCTAAACAACTGGCCCAAGGCCATCCGGCCAATGATGTAATGCCGCTTCTCCTGCAAAAGTCACCAGTGCCACTCTACCTGACGCCTGGTGCCCACTGTGCCCCCAAACCATCACCTTGGCTTCCTAAGACCCAGCGCTCCTGGCAGACAGAGTGTGCCCTGCCTGATTTCATTTGCTCCAATACCCCCAGGGCACAGGGAAACCAGGCTCCAGGTATTGGCCCAGTAGACGACCTGTGAGTGCCACTCAGCTGCCGGGGTGCCAGGAGCCAGGGCTGTGGTTCTTGGCTGCAGTGTAGCCTGCAGGGCAGGGTGGGGACCTGGATGCTACCAGCCTGGGCCATAAGCATAAGACACTCAACACGCAGGCACGGGCAAGGAGGAGTGAGGGTGCATGTGCATGGGACAGTGGCGACATGCATACACACGCACAGGGGCACACACCTTTGTCCCTGTGGGCGAGCCCATGGCCCAGGGAGCACATATCTGCAGAGGGCCCTCAGGCCGGTGCTGACGCGGTGTGCTATGTGGGAAGGAGGAGGCAGCAAAGGTGGAAAGAAAGGAAGTGAGTGGAAGGGGAGCGAAGGCTGGGTGGTGGCTTTCTGTGGGGGCGGGACCAGCCCCAGGAGTGGTCTGCTCTGGGAAACGCTGGTCCTCCCCTTTCCTTAAGGGGCCGTGCCAGAGGCCAAGGAGGTCCCAGGGCAAGGCTAAGAGAGCCGGTTCCCAGCACTACCACAGGGTGGCGCTGGAGACCATGGCTGGCCTTGGACAGGCAGAGGCAGGGTGCTGGGCCAGGACAAGCCCAGAGGGCTGACCTGGCAGCTCTAGCCTCCCTTCAGGCCAAGGTAGAGGTCAGTGTGGGCCTAGGTTCTGGCTCCAGGAGTCCCACTGCCAGCTCAGGCCTGGTTCTGCACCAACTCACTCCATTGGGGCCATGCTCCTTCCAGCCCTTCCCCTTCTCTCCTGGTGGTGGCCAGCCGGGGTGTGCGTGTGTGTGCGCGTGCATGTGTGTGTGGGATGCTGTCCATAACAGTCAGGCTCAGGGTGGAGAGCACAGATTCTAGGAAAGAGCAAAGGCCTTCCAGGAATTCAGGCTGGAAGGGCTGGTGAAAACACAGGGCCACTTGCCCCAGGTCACATGGCTGAGTTGGGACCACCCAGATGTGCTAGGCCTGGCCTCTCCCATGGAGGAGTTGGCAGAGAAGCACAACCATGCAGGACTCAGCTTCCCACTTGTCACCACTGTGTCCTCAGTGCAGGTCACCAAGTAGCTACCTAGTAAATACTGACTATTTCTCCAGACTTCCTGTCTCCAGAATTCCTCCCTCAAACCTCAAGCTTCTCCTGGCTCCCAGGCGCCATCTGTTTACTACCCTGAAAGGGCCACACACCTGCTCCCCAGGAGGTGGGAGGTGCGTTCTCACGGGGCTCCCTAGACGCAGCTGGGAGGAACTTAGTCCTTTCACCCTGCTGCTACCCCTTCTGTTCTCACTCCAGATCTGAAAGATCGCTCTTTCATCATCTGCCTTCATCTCTTGATCTCTTCATCTCCCATCTATCCAACCACTCACCCGCCCACTCAATTAGCAAACACGTACTGAGCATCCCGCTAGTCACAGGATACAAGTACCTCATGGCCACACTGGAACCCCTGTGACACTCGACAGAGCACGCAGACATCAAGGGGGCTGGAGTTAGGACAGACTTCTTGGGGGAGGTTGCAACTCTGCCTAGCCTTGAAGGATGACAAGGACTTGGAGAGGCCAGGAGAACAAGAAAAGCCATCCAGGTAGAGGGATCTGCCTTTGTTCTGAAACATCTTCCTTGCTTCCAACACAGATTCTTTGGCCCTTAGCTCACCTCTCTATGGGGTCCTTCTCTGGCTGCATCACAGACCTTCTCCCCGCTTCAGCTGTCTCATGGGAGGCTCTGCCCCAGGACCTTCAGCCCTCCTCCTCACTTTCTTTCCTAGTACAGATCTGGTTTCAGTCCCACCAGTTACCTTTATCCTGCTGGCTCCCCAAACACTTCAGATACGCAGCTCTCACCCAACTCTGGGACTTTTCAAGTAGCATTTCCCAAACTGTGGCCCATGGAGCCTCAAGCCACTGGCTCAGAGAGTCCGCAAAAATACCGAGGTCAAACACCTTGGGAAACATTGGCTTAGATCAAGCACAAGGGCCTTCATTTTCTCGTGCACGCAGTACACTGAAAGAGGGACATGGAGGATGCAGGGGTTCCCAACTTCCTGGAGCATGAATCCTACCCCTCTTGCCCCAGGACTATCTCACAGGACCAATGTTTGGGGGTCAATATCTGAAAACTGTCCTCTAGCACAGCCTCATTGGGAATTCTCAATACGCCTTCCACCC